CGTTATAAACCAAACCAATCATGATCCTTGTTATAAAAGCAGACAAACCCTAACCCTAACCCTTGTTATAAAACCAAACCAATTATGATCATTGTTATAAAAGATGACCAATCATGACCCTTGTTATAAAAGCAGACCAATTATGCCCGTTATATAACCAAACCAATCATGGTCCTTGTTATAAAAGCAGACCAATCATGACCCTTGTTATAAAACAAACCAATCATGATCCTTGTTATAAAAGCAGACCAATCATGACCCTTGTTATAAAACCAAACCAATCATGATCCTTTGTTATAAAATTGACAACTATCTAATACCATACTTATCGAATGTGATTATGTTTTTTTTTTGTTTATTTTCTTTTACTTTCACATCAACATGTTTTTTTGTTTTTGTTTTGTTTATTTTGATTCATTTGTGTTATTTGTTATTTTATCTGACACACTCATTCACCGTCCATGCTGTCATCTTCATACAAACTATGACCTAGACCTATGGTGGTAAGATCAATATCGCAATGTCCTGGCTCATGTCCCTTGGTGTAGCTTGTTCCATCCTTGGTGCAGGAAATGGTACTGTCTTTGCAACTGGCAGGTAGGGGGAAGAGGCATGTCTTTGTTTTCAGTTGAAAATTTCATGTGGTACTAGCATTCATGGCAAAACACAAAAGCAGCGACCATTTTATGTTATTGCATCCTGTTCACTTTGGCACTGTTGATATATTGCTTTTTGGGGAAAATGTGACCACTAGTTGGCGCTGTGCTATTTAAAAAAAAAAAAAAACTATTCAGTTTTACTTTGAGATCTAGTACCGCATAGTGTGTCTTTGTAGACTTTAAAATTAGTTGCACAGTGTGTGAATAGCTTGGGTAGAACTGAAATCACAGTCTGCTTTGCGCTTGGGACTTTATTCCACAGACATTAGCTGATCGTACATTAGGAGTAATGGCATGGATCATGCCTGTATTTGTTGCCTTGTCAACATTTGGAGCTGCCAATGGGACTTTATTCACTTCGGGAAGGTAGGCCAGAAGAGTGTTGAACTTAACTCACCTTTTCTTGTGCATGTGACAACTACCGGTAATCTACTTTCTTGTACATGCATGTAATTTTTATTTTCCTATTTTCAAAGTTCTTTTTCTTTGCCTTCTTTCATTTTTTTAGTAATACTTAACATTTTGTTATTGTTGTAAGCTGGATTGTCTGTTCATATCTCCCTAAAAAAAATGTTATAAATCTTCAAAATCACAGAGAAGCAATGTTGATTGTTCTTTTATTCGGAGTTTACTACACTCGACTTTATGACATACTTTATGACATACCTAGGGATTTCTGAATCCCAAGTTTCTGATGAGACTTCAAGGTCATTAGAGCGTCATCGATGACATTACAGTTTACATTCCAATATAAGTGTTTTACTTCTCTCAGTATATGTAGCGTGTCTATTCTTAAATATCTATAATAATTTTTTTTTTCGCATCTTTTGCTACTGCAGCAGCTATTAACATTTATTCTGTGATTGTATGTAATATATCATAATGTCGTGTTGATCTATTCAATAGTGGCCGCATGCAGACTTGTGCCTTTACTCGTACATGTAGCAATTTCACTTGGTGTACCATGTATATATGAATAAATGAATACAGTTGGTCAAACATAAAACTCACAATTACATCTGCACCATGTGTGTATTAGTTATGCTTAGTTATTTTTTCAGGGATTAAATTGGAGGCAAATTCACTTCTGAATTAAAATTTTAAGTTGTGTAAAAAAAGTAATATTTTCATCCAATGTTGCTACATTTCTTTATGTAATAAGTACATTGAGGGAGATTTTTTTCATAATATTTGTTGTTGCCCGTGCGCATGTATCAAGTTTACTCAATAAATTCACCATGAAGTAATGTATCTTGTTATTTATTTATTTTAATCATGAGAATTATTCTGAAAAACATGGGCTGGTTATTTGAATTGTCTTCAGAATATGGTAGATAGATGAGATAGATTTGAAAGTGATGTCGTAATCAACATTATGCTAATTAAGCCGTGAACACATGTATTCATAAAAACACTGAAAAAGGATCATTTTGCTTTCATAACGGTATCATTGCTCGTGCAAATTGGTTCAAGTAGTTTCATGTATTTCTGGTTCTTGTAATAGGTGGTTACAAAAAAAGCTGTTTTACTGACTTCCAATCGCCAGCCAGGCATATACTTTCCATTGTTTCGCCATCAATATGATGTAAAATTCACTCACTTTTCAATACATAAGAATGGGGAATGTGTCAGTAATAGGTCTTGATTACTGGTAGATTTGAGGAATTTGTGGGGGGGGGGGAGTGATGGATAAACAGTTGTTGTTAGTGTTACCCTCAAGACTGCCTTTAGCTTTAATTAAGGGACGACGTCAAAAGATCGATGTCGGATAAAAAACTTTAATAATTCCTTTAGTTTTTTTCCAAACCCCCCACTGAAACTTAATCGATAAATATTGGTCATGGCGTCAGACTACATTCCCCATTAAATACAAATTGATAATCGGACAGTAGTATTGCATAGCAG